CCTCCTGAAGAATCGGTTTGTGATTTCAAGAATTTTTATTCTTTTTGCAAATTGATTTGTGTCCAAGTCAAAATCTCTTCTTTTTATTCGCTTTTTGTAAGAGGCGGAAGCATTTGAAAATAGCCCAATTAAGTAGCACTCACCAACAGAAGCTACCCCTCGATAACGCTTTCAGTGGCTCCGTTTTTCGAGAATTGCTTGTAAGCTAGCTGATAGTTTTGGCTCCGTAGCATGCGCAGTAGTAATTCTTTGTGAAAACGAATGTAAGAATCGTGTTTCTTCAACAGGTTCGACTTTCGACATGAAATCTGAGCCGTGCACGCCGAAAATTATTTTGTGAAAAAAAGGAAATTCACTGCGATGGCAGCCTTTTTTTTTGAAAATAAGTTTCTAAATTTTAATCATATTTTTTACTCGGAAATGAATACATGCTTTCATGCTGCCTCTGTGGTTTTTCTTTAGAGTTATATTTTGTATTGCGCGAATACTGAAACGAGCAGCGCATGAGAATACAAGACATTTTCCAAGTTTACTGGATGAAATTTTTAGGTTTTTCTACGAATTCTTGCTTGCCAATGATCGACAAGTAGCTCGAGAAGTAAGTTTTTTTTCATGTGTGTTTCTTCTTGTCGCATTTACACTGTCTTATTCGTTTCGAGTTGCTGTAGCCTGAGCGCATTTGCAAATTATCGTTGTGTATCTGCTGAGGAATTGAGACAAAACGGTCTCTCGTAAGTCAGTTCTTCATTTTTTGCCGGTTGAATCAAAATTTACTGATTAGAACGATGAATTGCATCTGGTCGTGACATATTACGCTTGAAAACACAGCTTACTGTTTGTTGTAAAAATTCGACCGCAAAATTGTCATTTGTTTGGGTTGGGCATCATCGTTTTTTTTTTTTTTTTTTTCGACGGTTCCAGAAATTGCTGTTGTTTCAGGTGCGCGATGAATATATGGAGGTGGTCAGTAAAATGTTTTTCACTTATTTCAAAACGTATGCTTCTCGCCTGTTTCGCTTGTTGGTAAGCTGCTTTATTCCTTTTAACATTATTATCGAGCGTACATTACGTCCAGTAACGATCTAGTAGCGAGAAGAAAGTGGTATTTGATCCCCCCTCTGTTGAAAATACAGATACAAATGCCTCCCTCCTCTTCCCCTCTTCGTTCCGCACCTTCTCTCCCCTTTTCGTTCCCCGCCCTTGCTACACGTTCTTCGTAGTCATGCTAAGGCACTTTATAAATTTCCTTTCAAAATGGCTGTGGTCAACTGGGACTTTAAATCTCTTTCCATAAATAAAATGAATATTATAATTTAAACTTATAAGTGTTTTTTTTTTTTTTGCATACAGTACTATGTTAGCATGCATGATATAGCGGCAGTTAGAGCTTCTCTGTTCCTGGATTCGTTCGTTCGTTCCGATGGTAAATCGGCAATGGCGTTTAACAAGAAATCAATTCTATCATTAATTAGCTTCTTCTAAGCATCTGTTGAAGGAGAGGCCTACCGTCAGTCTGTCGATGAGGAGACCCCTGCCTTTCCTAAACAGTGAAGACGAAAGGATTTTAGCAACATCAAAATATTTCTTTTGGCTAATTTCTGAAGATTTACCAAATTTTCGTAATTTTTTTCGGAATGATTTTTAATTTTTAACATATTTTCTTTTTATCAGATTGCAGCTGACTGACGCGGCGACCAAAGATGATTTGCTGGGCGCTGAGGATACTGTGAAATCAGTTGGTTTCTTCAGTTCGAAACCACAGGTAAGTTGTTGAATATTTGTATGGAAATGAATTTTGCTATCTCTGACTGTGCTTTTCTACCATCTTATTGCAGTTCTGTAATTCCCGTACAACTGCACCGGTGAGTTAGTGCACTGTTGTCGCACATTAGGTCGAGGGTTCGACTCCACCAATAGGCACTCAGTCCCTCTACGGATCATTCATTCGTTTTGATAACAAAATGGCATCGGCATATGAGTCAGACCCGGCATCAACTTGCTTCTGAGCAGCCCTTGAAAGAGAGCACTATAAATAACCTTGCCAGCAGATGGATGTTATCATCGAAGTCGGCGTTAGCGCTGAAAATCGTCTATCTATTAAGCGTGGTAGCCGA